CCCTACACGCACCACGTAGCCTCCAGTTATTTAACCTCTAAGCCTCTTTGCTCAGCTCCATATCCAAAAAACACCCAAGACCTCCAACCTACTACGACAGCCGTTAACAACGGGTAGTGAGGCTTACACGCGGAAGAACGGGTTTTGCTTTCTCATCACATCTCACCGCTCATCACTAGATATTTTGTTTTATTTTATTTTTTAAATCAACATAGGAAATCGCTTAACTGTGTAAGGTCAGCACAGCCCAAGCAGCCCCGTACCCCACCTCACAGATCATCAGGGCTATGTTTCACAGAAAGGTGCAGCAAACCTCATGTGACCGTGCTGGCTACATCTGGACAATTGCTACCCACTTCACAGTAAAGGATTAAGGGTGTTTTCTTTTTAAACACTTAGCAAATGATTAATGTAAAACTAACAAACAAATGTCCAGCGGAGTCACAAATATTTTTTTCTATTATATCCCTACAGACAATAATCCTATCCTCTCTCTAACAAGAAAAGCTTGTAAGCATGGCATGAGTTTATGTTGGCACAAAGGCACTATGGGATTTGGACACATTTGGAAGCAAAAGCACAGATTACACGAGCAATTTCTTTCGTATTTTCATTCACTTTCTCATGCACCTAACCGTGGTTTGCATACATTTAATTTCTTCTCCATTGTGCAGTCTCCCCCACTTGTCTGGAACTTCCACCCAACAACAGCCGGGGAAAAAAAGGCTTAAGACATACACACACAAAAGAAAAGTCCCCAAACAAACAAAAAAAATCACAAACCCCTGCAACTTGATAGTTTCCATGCTCCTTATCATTGTACATCTAAGACAAACTCAGTAATTTTTATTATTATGGAATTTTAAAAGCTTGTAACGGATGCGTACCAAGTTTAGAAAACAGGATGACCTACACTTCAGCCTTCATAAAACGATTACCTCGTTCCAGCTAGATTCTCTGGAAGATCGGTATTATGGAATTGCACATCCCACTGGAAAAAATACACAAGCAAGTTCTTCACAAAGCGTCAGGAGTCCTTATTATCACTAACATATTACACATGAAAATCCCATCATTATTTTAACAATGACATTTTTCCAAGTTACTCTCTTCTCTGCTTCGCTGACCCCGCAGCAGTATTCCCAGCCGGTTTAACAGTCCCGTAGCAGCACGGGACTCAGTTTGGGCTGAATTACCCCAATTAGCACCGGGGCAAGAAAGCCCTCACAGCCACAGCCAAGTGACTTCAGCTGCCATGGAGCAGCGCAAGTTCAGGCTCTCTTACTACCAACCACAAAGTCTTTCAAATCCCATGTCAAGTAAGGTTTACCAAGACATTTTATCCACCACAAACAGAACCGTCTTAATGAGCAGGGATACTAACACATATGAAGCAGCAGCTCCTCCGGGTTATGACTTTGTTCCTGCTAATAAGAATACTTAAAGGAGGTGGTGATTAATGACTAGTGAATGATTACATACGGTAAGAAAACAAACAAAGACTTTCCCTCCAACCTTCATCTTCCGGAATTTGCTCATATCTTAATTTTTGGTTTAGTATTTCTCACAGACATATGCAATACTTAACAATTACATTGAAATTTCAAACAACTCCTGCAGTAATAAGGGATATTGCCAGCGGATACGGTTTCCCATGCAAACAAAACCTTTTAAAAATAAACCCGGGGAGAATGTGCCAGCATAAAAATAATTTCATGCTGCTATTAAACAGAAAGAGTGCTTTTTTTTTTTCTTTCTTTCTTTTTCAGGATTGATGTTATTAGCTTAACATAGGGTTGGGAGTAGAAACCTTTACGAATATTCCCACCTACCACCATACCTCTCCAATTCCCATCCAGTTGTGCGCTGCAGTACAACGCTCCTACACCTCCTGGCAGCCCCCGACACCGTTGCAAAAACGTTCAAGTCCAAAGGCAACGCTGCTAAGCGGCGAGTTGCCACGCTACCATACAACGCTGATAAAACGTGCTACATGCGAAAGCCGAGTACATGAAGCGGAAGTCAAGATCGTGTCTTCTTACGCTGCAGGCAGGGCAGAGATAAAAACAGCGTCCAATTCATTTTACTGGGCTTCTGAACAGTTGCCTCATGAGCAGAAACCAGAAAAGGTTCCCAAATATACAGCAGAAGTATCCCCGTGTTATTTTAAATAAACCTAAACGAGCAAGGAACATGTGCCCTTCGACAATCGCCAAGACCATCCCATAGCTGCACAAACCCCTGTATACTCCCCTCAAACTGCCGCCACAGAATGCGGTCATTAAGAAATCATGTGCAATGAACATTATCACCTCAAAACCAGTGTCTTAGCCTATACTGGGGTACCATCTACAAGCACACTCCCAGGATTTGCAGTAAGTCTAGCAGCAGAACTGCAAGTTCCCCCAGGCACATGGGTTCCTAGGCCATCAGTTTTCTGCCTACACCCTCTTTACTTTTATTAGTTAAGTATCTTGTGAGTGCAACTAGGAGGATGGAATGCTCCGAACTTCTTCTACCGCTATGGCATTTTCTCATGTGTAAAGAAAGATGCTCAGAACAATACAATGAATCCACACATCCTTTGCAGTTTGCAAGCACGATACGAGAATCAAGTTCCTCCAAAGACAGGCTAAATAAGTCAGGATCATCTTTTTTTTTTTTTTTTAAGTACAGAAATTCTGAACAAATGCACAAGCAGAAGCTGGTAAGTCAGTAAAATAACAAAAAAACCCCACCCCAGCACCAATTGTGGGAAGTGAAAACCAAGCTTGATACAGAAACTACCCAGCAACGGTGCAATGTCAGTTATGCAGCTTTGGCTGTTATGAAGGGCTTGACCCAAATCTGTTACGTTTGCGTACAGACACTTACAGAAAATATTAACTCTCTCGAAGGGCTATAAACAAACAAAACTGCAACTAGACCAGGGTGCCCATGTTCTGTTCAGTGGTAAGGAAAGGAGTTATTTTTTAAGCTTGCCCACCACAGCAGTTGAGATAAATACCAGGAAAGACAACTAGACTGCACTCAGTCAGTGCACTAGTGTGAAATCCCCGCCGCTCCTGCCTGGTGATTTCCCACGACTGAAAAAGTTCTGAGGAAAGAAGAAAAAAACGACACATTTAAAATAAGACCTACAGAAGTGCTGACAAGTTAGTTAGGACTGAACAACCACCGCAGGAATTGGGGTGATGATGAAGTGAACCCAATCAAACCAAACCGAACCGCCAACAAAAATGCCAAGCAACAAAGACGGCTTTCTCCCGCTCCCCCATTTTTACTCAGCATCTTT